CAAAAACAAGAGGAACACTCAAAAGTATTCAAATACATGGAAATTAAACAACATACTCCTTAATAACCCATGGGTGAAGGAATAAATTAAGTATAAAATTTAAAAATTCCTTGAAACAAATGAAAATAGAAACACAACATACCAAAATATATGAAAAGTAGCAAAAGCAGTATTGAGATAAGTTTATAGCAATAAATGCCTACATCAAAAAACTAGAAAGATTTCAAATAAACAACCTAAAAACTTCAAGGAACTAGAAAAACAAGAACAAGCCAAACCCAAAATTAGTAGAAAAAAAAAGAAATCATAAGGATCCAAACATTAATACACAAAATTAAGACTAAAAAGACAATAAAACAAAAATGTTTTTTAAATATTAAAAAATAGACAAACCATTAGCTAGACCAATAAAGAAAAAAGAGAGAAGATCCAAATAAATACAATTAGAAACAAAGAGCGACATCACAATGGATACCAAATAAACACAAAGAATCACTAGAGACAAATACGAACAAATATACACCAATAAATTTGGAAACCTAGAGGAAATGGATAAATCCCTGGATACATATGCCCTACCAACATTGAACCAAGAAGAAACAGAAAAACTGAATAGACCAATAACAAGTAACGAGATTGAACCAGTAATGAAAAGTCTTCCAAAAAAAAAGTTCAAGATTGGATGAATTCTGCTGAGCCTTTCAAGAAGAATTAATACCAATTCTTCTCAAACTCTTTCAAAATATTGAAGCAGAGAATTCTTCCTCTCTCATTCCATGAGGCCAGCATTATTCTGATGCCCAAACCAAACAAGGACACAACAAAAAGAGAAAACTACAGCATCCCTGGTAAACAGAGACACAGAAATTCTCAACAAAATACTATCAAACTAAATCTAACAACACATCAAAAACATAATTCACCATGATTAAGTAGGATTTTATCCCAGGAATGTGAGGATTGTTCAAATACACAAATCAGTAAATGTCATACATCACATCAATAAAATGAAGGACAAAAGCAATATAATCATCTCAACAGATGCAGGAAAACCTTTTGATAAAACTCAACCTCCCTTCATGATAAAAACTCTTTTTTCTTTTTCTTTCTTTTTTGAGACATGGTCTCACTTTGTTACCTAGGCTTGAGTGCAGTGGCATCATCATGGCTCACTGCAGTCTCCACCTCATGGGCTCAAGCAATCCTCCTGCCTCGGCCTTCTGAGTAGCTGAGACTACAGGTGCATGGTACCATGCCTGGCTCATTTTTTTTTTAATTCCTTATACAGACAAGGTAAAAACTCTTAATAAATTAGGTATAGAAAAAAAGTACCTGAACATAATAAGGGCCATATATGGAAAACTCACAGCTAATATCTTATTGAATGAGGAAAAGCTACCACTCTCATCACTATTAGTCATCATAGTACTAGAAGCCCTAGCCAGGGCAATTAGGCAAGAGAAAGAAATAAAACGCATCCAAATTGGAAAGCAGGAAGTCAAATTGTCTCTCTTTACAGATGACATGATTATATAAACCTAAAGACTCTCAAACAAAACACTCAGAACTGATAAATGAATTTAGTAAAGTTGCAGGATACAAAATTAATATACAAAAATCACCAGCATTTTTATACATGAACAATGAGCTAGCTGAAAAAGGAAATCAAGAATAAAATCTCATTTACAATAGCTACAAAAAATAAAATACCTACAAATGAATTTAACCAAGGAATTGAAAAATCTCTACAAGGAAAACTATAAAACATGGATGAAAGAAATTTAAGAAGATACAAACAAATAGAAAGACAGCCCATCCTCATGAATTGGAAGACTTGATATTGTTAAAATGACAATACTACCCAAACAACAGATTCAACACCATACCTATCAAAATACCAAGGACATTCTTCATAGAAATAGAAAAAAAATTTTTTTTTTAATTAGCATGGAAACACAAAGGACCCTGAAAGGATAGCCAAAGCAAACCTGGGCTAAAAGAATAAAGCCAGAGGTATCACACTACCAGACCTCAAAATATATTTTAGGTCAGGTGCAGTGGCTCATGCCTGTAATTCCAACACTTTGGGAGGCCAAGGCAGAAGGATCTTTTGATCCCAAGAGTTTGAGACCAACCTGGTCAATAGTGACCCTGTCTCTATTATAAAAAAATTTTTAATTATTTTTTAAAAACAAAACAAAATATACTACAAAGTTGTAGTAACCAAAGTAGCACAATACTGGCACAAAAACAAATACTCATAGACCAATGGAATACAGAGAATCCAGAAATTAATTTACATATATCAAGCAACTGATTTTTGACAAAGGTGCCAAGAACAATCATTGAGGAAAGGACAGTCTCTTCAATAAGCGGTGCTGGGAAAACCGGATATCCATATGCAGAAGGATAAAACTACATTCCCACCTCTCACCTCATACAAAAATTAACTCAAAATAGATCAAAGGCCTAAATTTAACACCTAAAACAACAAAACTACTAGAAGGGAACACAGGGGAAGTGCTTCAGGATATTGGTCTGGGAAAAGATTTTATGAACAAGACCTCAAAAGCACAAGCAACACAAGCAAAAATAAATGGAATTATACTAAATGAAAAAGCTTCTACACAGCAAAGAAAACAATCAACAGAGTAAAAAGACAACCTATAGAATGTGAGAAAAAATGTGCAAGCTACTCATTCAACAGGGGATTAACATCCACAATATGTGAGGAACTCAAACATCTCAACAGCAAAAAAACAAACCATCAAATTGAAAAATGGGTGAAAGATTTGAATAGACATTTCTCAAAAGAAGACATATAATTGGCCAACAAATACATGGAAAATGCTCAACATCACTAATTATCAGAGAAATGCAAATCAAAACCACAATGAGATATCACCTCACCCTGGATGGGATATCTATTATCAAAAAGACAAAAAATAACAAATGCTGGTGAGGATACAGAGAAAAGGGAACTCCTACACATTGTTGGTGGGAATGTAAACTAGTACAGCCATGATGAAGAATAATATGGAGGTTCCTTAAAAAACTACAAATAGAACTGCCACATGATCCAGCAATCCCATTAAAGGAAATTTATCCAAGTAAAAGAAAATCATTATATTGAGTATGTACAATTATTATTTGTCAAACTAAAAAATTTAAAAACAAAAAAACAATAATAAAAGAAGCTTTCTTAAATCAGAATATATAGATATATGATATTGGTTGCAACAGCTGCAGAATTCCCCATAGTATGACTGTGAAAGGTTTATTTAAAATATCCACTGTTGCTGGACATTCAGGTTGTTTTTTGTCTTTGTCTATTACCGACACTGCTACAATGAACATTTTGGTTCATTTATTTATACAAAAACTATTTGCTGAGCACTTTCTATGTGCCAGGTACAGTTTTATAACCCTACAATATAGTATGACATATATTGACATATATTCTTTTGTGAAGATATCAATAAACAGAAGGAGAATTGCTGCATTTGAGGAAATGTGCATTTTTGATTTTGATAAATATTTCCAAAATGCTTGCTGAAAGGGCTGCAGAAATCTATACTTTCTTCAAGAGTATATGCAAATGGTTAATTTCCCCATTCTTGCCAACACTGGGTATCATCAAACTTTAAAATTTTGCCAGTCTGACAAGCAAAAAAAAAAAAAAAAGGCTTCTTGTTACTATTTTGACTTGCATTATGAGTGAAAGTGAGCATCTTTTCTTGCTTATTGGCCACTTGTATTTCTTTCTCGATGAACTGCATGTTCCTGACAGCTGGGTGGTTTTCTGTTGAACTGTTGTCTTCCTACAGATTTGTACTTGTTCCCCATAAATTAAGGAAAACAGTCAGTCCTTTGTCATATGTATTGCAAAGCTCTTTTCCAGGTATTCTTTTGTCTTTTCACTTTGTGGTAATTTTTGAAATGCTTCTTGGTAGAGATAACATTCAAGTTGAGTCTTGAAGGGTGAGTGATGATGCTAATTATTAACTCTTGTCTAGTCCTTCTAAGTGCTGAGTGTGTTTCTAAGTACTTTAATATTCGACAACTCATTTAATTTTTTACAACAACCCTAGGAGGTAAAACTGTTGTCATCCCCACTTTAAGAGGAGGAAACGGAGGCATAGAGGCAGTTAAATAACTTTTCCAGGACTTCATAGCTGGTGAGGGGCAAAGACAAAAATCAAAACCCTGAAGAACTATTTGCAAGGTAGTCTGGGAACAGTAGCAAAGACACAGAGGTGAAAATAATACAAAATATCAGACGAATTACAAGGAATTCCCATGCATTTGGCATAAAGATAGGCTGCTTCATGGGGAAGGAAGGGAGACAAAAATCGAGGCCTCAGGGCAGGTTGTGTCTTGGTAAAATGTGCATTAGTCTTGTCTCCTGAGCTGGGGCATAGTTTCCTTGAGTTCAGGGTCCATATCCAGACCCCATATTACATAGCATCCTGCAGAACATATCCAAGCAGATGGGAGAAAATTGAAGTATCTGTTATTGTGTGTGATATGAGGCATTTTATAGGGCTTAGCTCATGACTCAATAATATTTTCTGGGTTCCCTGACTTGATTCATGGAGTGGTCAGGCCTTTTATATACAACTCATGCTCTGTTCTGGGCAAAATGGAGTCTCTGCTTTATGTATCACTGGCAGCAAATGTTTTCTTCAGCTGCTGTCTTCAGTCCCACCATCACAAAGCACATGTCAGGGCTATCTTCCCCGTTCTCAGTGTGATCTCTGAGAGGATAACATAACCCCAAGTAAACATAGTTATTGAGATAACTCTGCCACCCTAGGTCATGTGATGCCTCCAAAGACAGATATAAATAATTTTGGATTATCTGTTCCCCCACAGTTAACGTACTGGTGTTCTTCCTACACAAAGGTGATACTAAGCCCTGTGTGATGGGCAAATGATTCTGGAATGACCAAACGTGCATTCAGTTTCTTTCTTTCTTCTTTTTAAATGTTGAAACAGGAATCACTCAGGCTACATCCTCTCTCCCTTCCACTCTCCCTGAGATGAGAGAAGAACCATCATCAATGGCAAATGCAATTGTAGCGAAGTAACACCAAGAGCTGGCTTCACACGCCACAGAGAATGCTGCGCCTCCTCCTCGTGGTTTCTGTGGCTCCTCACGCTGAGCAACCTCTGTAGCCACAAATCATATAAATGATCCCTGAAAGTACAGTGTTTCCATTTCTTACTAATGGAATCGTGCTCTGCTCACCTCCAACTTGACAGTGTTTGGTAGCTTTGTCATGAACTTCTCATTGCTGAGGCAGGAACTATAGGAATATTGGCCTCAGAAGCAATGTGGTGAGGGACAAAGAGTCTAAGATGAGGAACCTAATATTGCATCATCGCCTAGTGGCAGGGATGACAAAACACTGTCACTCCCCACCCTGTGCCCCTGGCAGACATTGCTAATCAATCACACACTCTTGTCTGCTGAACCTGAGGAGCCTCAGACTCCTCAAAATGGTGGCCCTGAGTCACATCTCAGTTAATTGCATGTGGCTCTTGAAATGAAATATATTTGTTATCCCCAGTCTAATGATTAAAAAGCCATAGTTTTGGAGTCACACAAATCTGGGCTTAAATTTTGGCTGTGTCATCTGAGCAACTTAGCCTCTCTAAGCTTCTGCTCCCATCATCATCACATCCCTCAGAGAGTGTGTGGGAAGGGCAAATGGGGTAGAGTGTCTTAAGTTCCTTGAAAAAAATGCAAAACCCAGTTCCAGTGTCAAATCCAAGGAGTTACTTAGAATTTCTGGACTGCTCCCAGTTTCCTTCCAGGAAAAATTAGGGTTGTGAAAGTTGTCAAAATCAAAATGGAGTCACTAATGTTAAAAAAAGAAAGAAAGAACCCTGACAAATGGAGCTGGGAAAGGTCCTGAAGACAGAGTTCTCATACGTGTATGCCTGATAACAAAAACTATCACACAAGACTCAGTAAAAACCATGACTTTGCACAAAGGCCATTGCAACCTTACACAAAAAAGACTTCTGTGAAGACATCTGCCCAGCCACTGCCTGTCCAAGCCCAGACTGGCATCACCCTTGTTATTGGTCTTTGGAGTCAAGGATAATTATGTCAGAACAAATATGTAATCCTTCTCTTTCTTCCTTTAAAAATCTGTCTTCCTTTACTTCCCTGAATATGTACATAGTTTACTATGACATGCATATCCCCAATACAGTGCTCTATTCCTAGATAAATATCTTTTTCTTTTAAAGAGACTCTCCTTGTTTGCTATTTATGTTAACAGAGAAAAAGATTAGGCTGTCTCTGAAGTCAGTCTCTTCCAGCTCATTTGACAGGACTGGGCTGCTTCCCTCTCATGCATTCATTCAATGGCTCTGCCCAAGTGCCACTTCAGCTTGGACAGGCACTGTTCTAGGCTCTGGGGCAGGGGCCCCACCTTCTAGGAGCATATATTCTAGTGGGAAGATAGACAATAAAAAATTTGTCAAATCTGTTTTATGGCACATTACAAGTGAGGCAACATCAGCAGATGGAAGTAACACAGAGAAAAATAAAAGTGAGTGGCTGAAGAGGGGAGCCTCGGCAGATTCCAGGGCTGCTGATTCTGCAGTGAGAAGGAACTAAGTGCCCTTTAGAGAGACTTGAGGCTGGAGGTTAGCCCTTTGTTCTAGCAAAACACTTGGGAATTATGAGAAGATTCCATTGACTGCCACCCCTGTTCCTACCCTTTCCTTCTGAAAGAAACTTGTGTGGCTGCGGCCACACCATAGGCCTATGTGCAGCTTTCTTCCCTGGCTGGGCCTGGAGGCCTCACAGTTCATTTCCTGTTCTTTGGGATGGGGTGAGGAGTGGTCTATCTGGCCTCCACCTATGCAGCCAGGGGCTTCCACTCACTGTTGCTCAGTAGTTTCTGGGCTGGGGAGGAGTAGAGTTCTCTGGGTCCACTCCATTGCCCCTTTTGTCCTGGCATCTCCAGCATGGGACTGCAGTGGGTGGCATCTTCACCAGGAAATGGCTAGAGAAAGTCACAAGGGCCATGTGTGATGAACAGGCAGCCCCTGGAGGCCCAAGCAGGAGGTGGCAAGAGTGGCAAATGGAAATGCCCAAGAGGAGAGGCGAGCAGTGGGTGTAGGTGAAGAGCTGGGTGTGGGTGCACACCTTCATTAGGCAGTGAGGCAGGATTGTGGCAGAGCTGACTGTTGGTGTGCAGGATGCCCAGAATTTGAAGGCAGCAGAGAAGTCTGTAGACAACCAGATGGAACATCAGGACAAGAAGAGACTGGCATGGACTCCAAAAGCACTGGCCTAGGTGTCAGCACACCCTGAGTTGACATCCAGGCCACCTACAATGGCAAGAAATGTCTAATCACTGTAATGTTACTATTCAGGTAGGGCCTGCCTGGGTGATGACCAGGATGAAGATCCTCAGACCATCATCTTCCTCCAGGATGAGCACCACACAAGCACGTCATGAGGCACCTTAGGCACACGGTTGGCATTGCCACCATTACAGGGATGTCCAGATTGGAGACATAATGGCAGGGGGTAAGGGCCAGCTCCTGAGCAAGAAAGACCTCTGTTGCTTCTACATGCTGAGGGGGTCAAGGCTGCTGGCACCAAGAAGCTCTTTCAGAAATTAAAGCCCCAAGAGACCTCCATTCCCTTAATAAGGTTTTCCTACCACATGGCTCAATTTATAAATGTATAAAACACATCTGTAGACTGGGATGCACTGCTACTGAGCTGATATTTCTGCAGGAATCAAATCTGAAAGTGAGGCAGTGCCAGGCTTTAGACTCTAGCCTGGGCTAGCTCAGAGCAGAATTGGGAAGCAAGGTGCGGTGGGTTGAATATGTCCCCCCAAAATTCATGACCACCCAAAACCTCAAATATGACCTTATTTGGAAATAGGGTAGTTGCAGATGCCATCAGTTAAGGTGAGATTATACTAGATTAGAGAGGGACCTAAATCCACTGGTGCCCTGACAAGAAAAGGAGAGGACACATGGGGAAACACACCAGGAGGAAGGCCGCATGACAATGAAGGCAGAGACTGGAGTGATGCAGCTGCAAGCTCAGAAATGCCAAGGATTATTGGAGCCACCAGAAACTAGTGAGAGGCAAGGAGGATTCTTCTCTGGAGGCTTCAGAGGGAGCACAGTCCTTCATTTTGAGTTTCTAGCCTCCAGAACTGGGAGGGGATACGTTGCTGTTGTTTCCAGCCACCCAGTTTGTGGTAATTCATTACTGCATCTCTAGGAATCTAATACATACAAAAAACAATTTTTTAAAAATCTGGCTCTTCAGCTGGGCACAGTGACTCATGTCTGTAATCCCAGCACTTTGGGAGGCTGAAGTGGGAAGATCACTTGCGGTCAGAAGTTCAAGACCAGCCTGGCCGACATGGTGAAATCCGTCTCTACTAAAAGTAATTTTAAAAAAATTAGCCTAGTGTGGTGCTATGTGCCTGTAATCCCAGCTACTTGGGAGGCTGAGGCAGGAGAATCCCTTGAACCTGGGAGGTGGAGGCTGCAGTGAGCCAAGATTGTGTCACTGCACTCCAGCCTCGGCAACAGAGCAAGACTGTCAAAAAAAACAAAACAAAAAACAAAAAAATAACCCTGCCTCTTCTCTATGAAAGAAAGAAAGGAAGAAAGAAAGGAAGGAAGGAAGGAAGGAAGGAAGAAAGGAAGAAAGAAAGAAAGGAAGGAAGAAAGAAAGAAAGAAAGAAAGAAAGAAAGAAAGAAAGAAAGAAAGAAAGAAAGAAAGGAAGGAAGGAAGGAAGGAAGGAAGGAAGGAAGGAAGGAAGGAAGGAAGGAAGGAAGGAAGGAAGGATCAACCCTAGTTATAGTTACTTCTGGGTTTGTTTTTTTTTTTTTTTCTATATTCCTCCTCCTGGGTAGCCTTGTCATGTGGAGGGTAAGCCTGGATTTGACTCCTACCTCTGCAACTCACCAGCTCTGGGGGCTGGCCAAATCTCTCTGAGCCTTTGCGTCCTCATCTCTATGGGGCATATTGAAGAGTAAGTGAGAGAGCATGAGAAAGCTCAGGTATAGGCCTGGACAGGTGTGGGTCCTCAGTGAGTGCTGGCTGCCTTTCCTCCATGGTGAATGCCACACAAGCACGCCATGAGGCACACCTGGGCCCCTTCTTGCCAGCCCTAGCATCGTGCCAATCACTAGGCATTCCTGAGTGCTGTCTTCTTCAGACAGTATCCTCTGTGTCAGCAAGATGTTTTTGTCCCCCTAACAACCCACCCATATCTAGTATCTTAGTGTGATGTTCCAAGCCAGCAACATTTTCATCTATCAAGAGTTAAGAGCCTACAAGATGAGATGGAATGGAGAGCAGGATGATCCAGCTATAGAGAGTTGGGCTGTGCTGCCGTGTTGCACAATTCAAGAGGGTCACGATTTATCATGCATTCATACAAAAGGTTTCCCCTAGAGTTGGGTATTATGGTGACCCTGAAGTGGCCTTAAAAGTTTGGAGGAGTGAGGAGATGGGAGAAGAAAGGAATCTCCTCCTCTTCTTCCTCCTCTTCCTTCTTCTTCTTATTGTTGTTCTTCTTCTCATTCTCCTCCTCCTCCTTCTCCTCCTCCTTCTTCTCCTCCTCCTTTTTCTCCTCCTCTTTCTCCTCCTCCTCCTCCTTCTTCTTCTTCTCCTCCTCCTCCTCTTCCTCCTCCCCCCTCCTCCTCCCCCTCCTCCTTCTCCTCCTCCTCCTCCTCCTTCTCCTTCTCCTCCTCCTTCTCCTTCTCCTCCTCCTCCTCCTCCTTCTCCTTCTCCTTCTTCAGAGACAGGCTGTCACTCTGTTGCCCAGCCAGGAGTGCAGTGGTACGATCTTGGCTCACTGCAGCCTTGATCTCCTGTGCTTAAGCGATTCTTCAACTTCAGCCTCCCAAGTAGCTAGGACTACAGGTACATGCCACCACCACACCTGACTAATTTTTGTATTTTTTGTAGGGATGGAGTTTCATCATGTTGCCCAGGCTGGTCTCAAACTTTTAGGCTCAAGTGATCCACCTGCCTCAGCCTCCCAAAGTACTGGGATTACAGGCATGAACCACCGCACGTGGCCCTTTCTCTTTTTTTGGATAACATAATTACACACTTTGTTATGTCTGGAGAAAGGTATGTGTATTGGGGATTAGGGAATTTGGGGAGGGGAAATGCTCAGATACTGAATCCATTTATATGAAGAAATTT